CTCATTCGGTGGCTGGCACCACAGAGAAGCCAATGTTCAAGGCCACTCAGCCTCCACGGGCCTCTATGGTCATGTTCCCTGTCATGTCAGCTGGAGCAGTTTCTTTAGGTCAGTGGGGCAAATATGTCATTGGAAGGCAAGGGACTCCTATGACATTTTCCCCAGTCTTTTTGTCTTGAGTGGTGAACTTAATAGATTGATTACTTGTAGAGTGAATATTTAATTTCTTCTCCATCAGAGAGGAAGAGAGAAGACTGGGCCTGTATCTATGTCATTGCCTTCTCTGTAGACTTGTCTCTGACACAGTATCTCAGCTGCCTCTGCTATATTGCAATGAGGATGAACCTTTCATTTCCTTTACATGTTTTAAATACCAATATTCTTCTCTTTCATCTCATTTCTGAATCAGGATGGCTGCCTTCTCTTGTTTCCTGTTAAGAAATCCCAACCCTGGCTCTCAGAAGCCTGTTGCTGTATCCTCCTACTTCTAGAGAGACACAGCATGGCCCCAGCAGTTTTCTGGACTGCCAAGGTCTCCCAGAGTCAATTTCAAATGGTCATTCCCGGGCAAAGAGTGCTTTTGAGTATCATTTTTGAAGCTAGCACTGTTTTCAAAACTGCAGGGAGGCTGAGAAGAGTCTAATCTGCTCTCTGTTCTCAGTTTATCATTCTAGTTCAGGAGACAGGTGTAAATATAAAAAGCAAGTGGAAAAATAATTAAGTTAAAAATGAAGTCTAATGGGAACCATGGAACTCCTATGTGTCATGGCTGTTATTTCCAGATGATGCCATGATATTTGTTGTGTTTAGGTGCTGTGTCTGAAGGATCCAGCTGAGTCAAGGGGCACTTTTCTTGGATTAGTTCACAGAAGCAAGTACTTCTTTCCTGCTGCAGTTAATCTCCTCGTTTATTTCTTCTTTTGCTATTTACTAGTGCTTTGTGAGTTAGGGATTCCATTTGTATGAAAGATCTGCCATGGAGGAGTTGGCTGTGTGGGTGCCTGGGCACTGGTGCTTCCTGGCATGGGTTCCAGCCTCTCCTCACATCCTGGCCTGTGAGGATCAATGGGTCATGCCTGAAATGCAATGATTTTCAGTTGCAATTGTCTTTAAAAATCAGCCTAAGAACCAGCCCACATGCTCTGATTCAACGAGGGCAAACCTCCTACTAACTTGCTGACATCTTGTTTCTCTTGTCCCAGGCAGGCTTTCCCCAGACTGGAGGCCAGAGCTGGGAGAGGCTAGAGGCCCCCTGTGAAGGCAGCAAAGGGTGCAGGTAAGAAGGGGAAGAGAACCCTTCTATCAAGCAACACAGATGTGTGTTCCATCGATCGTCCTCTCCTGCAATGCTAAAGCAACTCATACACTCCTGGGAACTGAGGGAATCACTGGGGATCCCTACATTTGGGCTTAGAACTAATTACCATGGGCTGGAGAGGCTGAGCTGGCCCAAGGCATGGTGTGGGGGCTGAGTCCCTCTTTAGTGGACTTGGCCAACGTGGTGTCACAACACCAGAACCACTGAAGGACAGTTACTTGCTATGAGAAGTAGGAATAAACAGGCAAGCCACGCCTCTAGGTCCTGGCTGCTGAGGACTATTAGAAAGGAGAGACTAGGCACTCTGTCGAGTCAGGAAACAGTGATTTAATAGCATCCTGAGCAAGCTGGTGCACGTCTGTGTTGTGAGGACTGGCCTCCCAGAAACGTTGCACAGGATGCTCCTGCCACTAGAGGGAATGGGAGCATCATGTGGACTGGAGGGGATCAGGCCACCCCTATTAGCACCTGTGGGCCTTATTTTGATGTCCACAGCTCTATGTTTTCATACACAAACATTTCCGTTTAGTCCCCTGCCTTAAGGAGTTATGAGCACATCATAACCAACAATTGAATAGGCTCCATAATGCAGACAAAAGCTCCCATCCTGAGAAAGGGGTAGGTCTGAGGTTAAATTCCCAGTAACAAATATTCCTTTAATGATGTTTATTACAGTAACATTAAGCAGATGTGACATTTAAAAAAAATGTGGGCAGGTCTCCCAACTTTTCATTTGACTTGAAAAGACTGATTTACTGCCTCGAAAACCTCTTTTCAGAGGGAAGCTTTGCATGAGTTTCATTGATTCCCTTGCCCGATGGCCTCGGGGACAATGGGACCACCAGCATCACCAGCCCATCCTGCATGACTTAGAGAGTTGGAAACCTCCTGGGCATCCAATCCAAAGCATATTTGTCACTCTGGTTGTCAGAACTCTACTGAGCTGGAGGTTAGTGAGCTCTGTGTTAGGAAGTTTCCAAAGACCACATGCTTATCTCTGCCACCCCCCCACCCGACCTCACCCCCCACTGTACTCAAACTCAAGGGTACAAATCAGGACCAGGAAACATGCCAATTCTAGAATCAGAAAGATGCAGTAGTATGTTCTTCCCCAGCCAGTGCTTCTTCAGCTTGAGTGTGCTAGAGAATCACTTGGAACTGGTTTAGCCTGTGGAGGTGTTGAGATCCACCTCAGAGGCTCCAGCTCTCAGGGTCTCTGGACACTGTCTAGGCAGTGGCTTTCAAACCTGGTGGCCTGCTAGAGCCTTTAAGCAAATGGATGTCGGAGCTCTATCTGAGTGAGAATAGGTGGGGAGGCTGGCCAAGGCCTTGGTCGTTTTTACAAGCTCCGTGGTCACTTTGATATGGAGCCAGGGAAATGAGGAACTGTCAGGGGCTATGACGTCCCAGGCAGGGACACAGCTAAGGGCTCATTGGAAGTCATTATTGGATAAAGCAGCAGTCGTCTAGCTTGACATGCTTATCTTCAGACAAACAAGGCATCCTGCTTCAACACGGCCACTGACTGCTAAAAATCCATGGCCCATGGCATGGAGAAAGATGGGGACCCCTGAGTTCAGGTGCCTAAATTCGTGTGGCCGGGGGTATGTCCATTTTTTAAGGGAGGGGGCTTCAGACTTCATTAGCTTCACTTCCTTTCCCGAACACTTACTATTTTATTCATTCATTCATTCATTCATTCATTCATTCATGACCCAGAGTCTTGGTTCTGTTCTGCTCCCCCCCGACCGGTAACCATTCTTATGGTTAAAGTACGCTAAAATGTATCTTTTTGTTTGACTATTTTTGTTTTGCATGCACATATTTATATTTTATATAAATTGTGTGTTTTTAGGGCTCCTTTGTTAACATGTGTACATTTACTCATGGTTTCCACCTGCTGCATCGACCCATGGCAGCCCTCCCGTTTCACCTCTCTTCTTCCCCAGGATGGATGCCCAGGAGGTTTCCAACCCTGTCTGGCCACAAACAGCTGCTGTGGGCTTCCTCATATATAATATGTCTCCTTCTGAACCGTGAGAGTTGAACCTGGATGTGGAATTGCTGGGTCACAGGACTAAGAGGACGGCAGGGTGCTCCAGTCGATTGCTCCTGGTTCCACTCCGATCACTGTCACTGTGTTCCCAGTGATCTAAGATCCCACCAAACCTCCACCAAGTGGAAAAGCTGTCAGTTAATAGTGGAAGCTGGCTCTCATGGCCATTGCTGTTCCTTCCTCTCTTCCCAGTCTGCCTTCTCTCCCCCTCCTGTGGTAGCTGTGCTAACCCTTCATCACCATCCTCGAGGCTCTTATTCTACATGGACTTGCACAGAGAAAGCAGCGGGTACTTTCAGTTTTCTCCCTCTGCTTCTAAGTGTGGCAATGTCAGCCGCATCTTGCTTTATTATTCTGTTCAGGGATCCTTCCCAGCTCAGCTGCCCTGACCTTGATCTCCTCCAGACCCCAATCCCCACTCCTGGAGCCCTTCTGTGGCTGTCTTTCCCGCATTTCCTCTCTCACTTGTCACTGGTTTGCTTCTGTGGCATAAGCTTTGGCTGAGTCTCTCCCATTCTCAAACAGTCTTCTCCTTAAGCTATCTCCCCTTTTCTTTTAAAAATGTTTTTCATCCATCACCAGCTTTTTGCGTGCATTGTTTGCTCTCTTTCTGCTTGCTTCTTCACTTCTGAAACCCCAACCCCTGGTCTTCTCGTGGCCGACTCTGTGCTTCCCAGCTCCGCCTGCCGATTTCTTGGTAGCACCCGCCACAGTGAGCACACACCGCTGGTGGGCAGCCTCCCCTGGGCCTTTAGGACAGGATTGTCTCCTGTTCTTCCGCGTCTTCTCTCTCTGCTTCTTCTCGGACCCACCAAGGGCTCCTTTCCCTTGCCCTGTCCTTTGGAGCTTTCCCCCAGGCCCACCCTCTAGGCCTTCCACTGCCACGTGCTTTTCTGAGAGCGCACATCCACTCCTCAGGCGTATGCCTCTCCATCCTGGATCTCACTGTAATTCAGCAGTAGTTTTGAGAACTTAGTACTGTATGTTAAGACCCAGTCACGTGTGACCTATCCCTCGTCAAGAGCTCTAGACCCATACATCTGGCAATCACTCTGTTTTCTATGGTTTGAGGATATGTATCTGATTCATGGGCTAACTGAAACAAAGCATAAGTTTATTTTAAAGAGCTCACAACACAGCCTTGCTCCACAGCACAGACAATGCTGCCGGCTCAGCTTCCGGCCTGGAGAGCACACCCCGGGCCTGGGGTCACCGAGGGGTACCCTTTCACTTTTTTTGACTGAGGAGTACAGGGCCACCCTCCAGGACAGCAGGACCTGGAGCTCTAAGACTATAAGTTAGTCCTTAGCTATTTCCCTGCCTTTGGAACAGGAAAGCATTGATATAGCCACAAGCTGAGGAGAACAGGTGTGCAATGTGAGACTTGCAGAGGAAGGTAGTGCTGCCAGGAACAGTCCCTGACGTAGGTAACCAGCTGTCCTGGGAGGGTGAGGCCTACACGCCTGGAGAATCGTACCAGGTGGACACGATTCACTGTGAGACTGACTGAATGCCCTGCCTGCCTTTCAGGAGCTGGGTTGGGCAGTTTAGAGAGAACAAGAGTGAGTTTCCTCCCGCCAGCCGACTTGGCCTTGCAGGGCCCGTGGCTCCCTGAGCTGGCCTTACCTCTGCTTCAGAATCTGTTTGTTGTCTTCGATGGTCACGCTGTCAGCGTGGTCCCTCTTAAAGATTTCAAAGGCCTCCTGGCGTCCTAATGACATTTCCTCTCTCATCCCTGTTGGAGACACAGGGAAATGGCCTCAGTCACAGCATCAGGATCCCATTAGTTTCATTGTCACTCTAGTCAGACCACAAAGGCGGCCCTGGCTCCGAGAGGCCCACAGTAAGAGGCTCTCAACCAGACAGGTGGCCCCAGGCTCCTCCAGGGGCCTCCCACCAGGGAGCACTCGCAGCCACACCCTCTGCACCCCGCTGGCTGGGCCATGCATGCATGTGACCGTGGGGGGTGGGGTTTGGAATGTCTGGTAGAAGGAAATGAAAACCAGAGTGCCAAGCCCTCGATTGCCAAGAACATCTGCAAATACACTTTCTGCCATCACTCAGTGCCATATTTCTCCCTGTTTTCCTGTTATTCCCCACTTGGGTTTTCTGTTAAATTTCATCCTGAATTTCCAGGCATTTAGTTAACAAGAAGTCTAATTCAGACCGAAAGATTTAGAATCTAGAAAATTCTGCTGTCTTCAGATCCCAGCCTGTCCTTGTTTCCTGCGGCTAATGAGGGGCCCCTGATCTTCCTCCAAACTTAAGTTCTCCGTGCAAGACCCCTGAGCAGACAGCGGTGCAGGGAGGCCCTGGCTCATGTCTAACACCAGCATCCTGTGTCACTGCTGCCCCTGCAGACTCATCCTCCCTGCTGAGGCGCTCAGGGGCCTGTTTCTGAAAGCCAGAGTCAGAAGGGCCAACGCCCTTGGAGTAGCAGGTGGCACCTCTTCCCACGCCTCCCTAGGTGAGGGTCTATGCAGGTGTGTGCCTGGGACTCTCGGTGAGAGCTGAATTCACAGGTGGGTTTTGGATGAATCTATAATCATTTTTTTTATGCCTCTGCCCTTCCTTCCTTTTTTCAATGTTTTTATCCCTTTAATCCCACTTATCTTTGCAGCCTGGCTGAGTGTTACCACCTCCATGAAGCTCCCCAAGGCCCAGAAGGACAAATCTTTCCTCCACCACGGACCCATAGATGCTTCTGAAACACACACAGCCACAGGTGCTGTCACTTCACATAAAGGTCCTTTCTGGTGAAATGCAAGTTTCTCCGGAGATGGAGAGAATTTTTTGGTGAATCCTTGGTGCCTTGTTTAATGACTAGCGTTTAGAATGTGCTCAACACATGTCTGTTAAGTGAGTCAGGCCCAGATTGAACTGGGAGTGATGATGAGCCTTGCTTGTTGCCATAGGAACAGGGTCCAGGGCTACAGGGGTTCACTCTGAGGCCTAGGGTACCAGAGATGCATTCATATGGGCCACAGACCACATCTCCTGCCTGCAAAAACCCAGCCTCGGGATGGGAAACTGGACCAGCCCATCTGACACCAATTTCATGATTGCTGTTGATAAAAATAGCACCATGGAGAATGTCTGAATGGTGAGGCACACAAAGACACCCCACCCTTTCCATTGAAGCGAAGGGGCACAGCTCGGTTCTGTCTGCACATCTGCCCTGCACATCCAGAATCGGGGCGTGGCCTGGGGACGGGTTTAAGAGAGACTCGGAAAGAGAAGCCCGGATGCACGAGCGACTTTAACCAGGGGGCACTTTGTTTCCACCAGGAGCCGAGGGACTCACTCCATACCTCTCCCCTGGCCCTGGTCTGTGCTCATTCTAACAAATGTATGTTTGCCTTCACTGCCTAATAAGATTACAGCAGGGGGTGAAGGGAATGGATCTCTCTGGAATAGAGGGGGTGGGGGAAGCTGCATAGAGGCCACATTGGAGCCTGCCAGTGGGATCCCCAAAGGGCCGCCCACAGAGGAGGAGAGCAGGCTTCCTGGGCAGCGGGAGCAGAAAAGACAATCCAGGAAGGTTGGCTGGGATCATTTTTCAGAGAATCTGTAAGTTCTTGCTAAGAAATATGGGCCAGTGTGGTATCATATTATATTATATTATAATCCTCCCCCCTACCGTTGTTATTTTATTATATAAAACTATAAATCAGTGGTTTTCAAAGATTTTTTTTAAGTTTAGTAAAGCACACATTATGGCGAAGTTGCATGGAAAGTGATTGCTCCTTTGAGTGAGTTAAGAGCACTGGATCCTGCAGTGCTATAGGCTTATCGTTAGGAGCAAGGTATTGCTTCTCCTCTTGGTGGAATGGAGAAATACTCTGGAATTAAGTTCTCTGAGGGTAGTGACCTCAGGTGGATGAGCATTAGTATGATGGCCATCATCCTGACAGTCAGCATCCTAAGTGTCTGCTTAGAGAGGCCAAAGTGATGGGGCTCATGATACCCATCCTGAAGGCAAAGAGGCAAAGCAAGGCCTGGAAGCCTAGAGAGACTTCACTGCTGCCTCATGGAAGGGAGACTGAGAGTCCACAGAGATGGCAATGAGGACTCCCCAGGCAGCTGTAGTGTGAGACCCCAGCCTCTAGCCCAGCTTTACTCTTGTCCATTCCAATTATGCTCATTTAGAGCTCTAGTCCTTTTGGGTTGTGCTAATGGGCCACTTCCTACTCCAATTTGGGGTCACCTGAAAAGTTAATGAACCCCATTTTATTTGCTGAAAAGATGTTTCCACTTCACTTTCCCTCTCAGAATTCCCTTTCTTAGATGACAAGCTCTAGCGCACACGTGGTATGCAGCAGGAAGAGCAGGGCAGTGGAGCACAGGAGTGACCACTGCCTACCTTGCTAATGAGATAATGAGCCTGCCTCTCACTTTAAATAAAAAATTAGAAGTGATTAAGTCTAGTGAGGAAGGTATGTTGGAAGCCAAGATAGGCCCAAACCTCAGCCTTTTGGGCCAAACAGTTAGCCAAGTTGTGAATGCAAAGGAAAAGTTCTCGAAGGAAACTAAAAGTGCTGCTCCAGTGAACACACGAGTGATGAGAAAGGGCAACAGCCTTACACCTGATATAGAGAATGTCCTAGTGGTCTGGAGAGATGACAAACCAGTCATACATTCCAATAAGCCAAAGCTTTATCCAGAAAACAAGGCCCTAATTCTCAATGTTATGAGGGCCAAGAGAGGTGAGGAAGCTGGAGAAGAAAAGTCTGAAGCTAGCAGGGATTGGTTTAAGGAAAGAGCCATCTCCATAACATAAAAGGACAAGGAGAAGCAGCAAGTGCTGACGTAGAAGCTGCAGCAAGCCATCCAGAAGACCTGGCTAAGATGATTAATGAAATGGCTACACTAAACCACAGGTTTCCAATGTAGATTAAATAGCCTCATATTGAAAGATGATGCCATCCAGAACTTTCATAGCCAGAGAGAGGTCAATGCCTGCCGTCAAAGCTTCAAAGGACAGGCTGACTCACTTGTTAGGGGGCTAATGCAGCTGGTGACTTTAAATTGAAGTCAATGCTCATTTACCATTCTGAAAATCCTATGCTAAGTCTACTCTGCCTGTGCTCTACAGATGGCACAACAGAGCCTGATGGTAGCACATCTGTTTACAACGTGTTTTCCTGAATATTTTAAGCCCATCGTTGAGACCTAGTACTCAGAAAAAAAAATAAGACTCCTTTCAAAATATTATGGCTAGTTGACAATGCATTTGGTTACCCCAGAGGTCGGATGGAGATGTACAGCAAGATTAATATTGTTTTTATACCTGTTAACACAACTTCCACTTTATAGCCTATGGACCAAAGAGTAATTTTGACTTTCAAATCTTCTTACTTAAGAAATACATTTTGTAGGGCTATAGCTGCCACAGATAGTGATTCCTTTGATGGGTCTGGGCAAAGTAAATGGAAAACCTTCTGGAAAAAATTCACCACTCATGATGCCACAATGAGCATTTATGATTCATGGGGAAAAGGCCAAACTATCAATATTAACAGGAGTTTGGAAGAAGTTGACTCCAATCCTCATGGATGATTTTAAGGGGTTCAACACTTCAGTGGCGTAAGTAGCTGCAGATGTGGTGGAAACAGCAGGAGAATTAGGATTAGAAGTGGAGCCTGAAGATGTGACTGAATTTTTGCAACTCACATAATAAGACTTTAACAGAGGAGCTGTTTTTTGTGAATGAGCAAAGAAAGGTTTCTTGAGATGTAATCTGTTGTTGGTGAAGATGCTGTGAAGATTGTTGAAATGGCAACAACATTTTAGAATATTATATAACTTAGTTGAAAAAGCAGTGGCTGGGTTTGAGATGATTGTCTCCAATTTTTGGAGAAAAGAAGTTGTATTTCAGGTAAAAACAGCATCACATGCTACAGAGAAATCATTCATGAAAGGAAGAGTCACTTAATGGGCAAACTTCATTATTATCACATTTTAAGAAATTGTCAGCTTTCCATCCCCAACCTTCATCAATCACCACTCTGATCAGTCAACAGCCATCAACGCTGAGGCAAGATGCTCCACCACAAGAAGATTGTGACTCCCCGAAGACTCAGATGATTAGCATTTTTATCAATAAAGTATTTTTAAATTAAATCATGTACATTGTTTTTCTGACATAATGTTATTGCCCACTTAACAGACTACAGTACAATGCAAACATAACTTTTATATACACTGGGAAACCAAACACATTCATGTGACTCACTTTATTGTGATATTCTCTTTATTGCAGTGATCTGGAACCAAGTTTGCAATGCCTCCAAGCTATGACTGTGTTACCTGAGTTAAACTTCTCCAGATCCACGGTCATAATTTCACTGTACAGATGAGGAAACTGAGACTCATTAAAGAAATGGGTCTTGGGGTAAAATTTCCCCAGCTTTTAGAGACAGGCTAGTTCTGCTTTTTGATCAGCTTTTTCAGGGAAAGCATGCCTGATAGAAGGGAGCAAGTGGCAGACCTCCAGATAACCTAGTAGTAGTTGATTTACCCATAAAACTTTGCTCTTACGGGTGCTCATCTTGTCCAAAACTTTGAGCTTTCTTTATTGTATTACAGGGAAAACAGAACCATGAATTTGGTTTACTGTTTGCATAGTTTATTTCCTTTATTAATATGTTCTAAAATGATTTCTAGAATTTGTAAACTCGATGAGGGCAGGATTCCCCCCCCCCCCCCTAGTTTTGTCTGTTACAATATTTCTAG